GGCGAGTATATAACAAACTCTGTATTTTGAGTGGAAATGTTAGGGGGTCGTCTTATACGCCCAGTCGTCTTATACGCCGGCAAATACGGTAATTAACTTTCAGTGTTTTGTAAAGAACATAGGAATTCTACATGTAATCATGATAAGGTCACTGAGACCAAATGCCATGTTAGGTATGTTATCTTTTGGCTGCAGTTTTATATAGAAACTTGGTATGCCAGTACTGGTTTCCCCTGCTGATCAGAAAATCCCTTGAACTGTTGAATCACAGTTTAGATCATCATCACAGGAATTTCTTGGGCACTTTCCAGAATGTTCCACAGAACACCAGTTCTTTAAGAGTCAAAAAGTGGTTCTATAGTCAAATTGAGTTTTGGAACATTAAATAAAGTATCTCAACTATAGAATTTCTCAGAGCCTTAACACACTAATGTGAACTGGACAGCATATGTACATTCCAAACATGTGTAGCCACGAAACTTGTTTTATAGAGCATATCAATGGTCCAGTCTTCTGAATCCTTCTTGAGAAATATATTTCTGGGAAATGTAAACACTATACCTGTCACAATGGCCACCAGTGCATACCAAATGGCTAAAGGACCTAAAATGAACCTATCTAGCTACATACAGAAGGTGCCCAAAAAATGTATACACGTTTTAAGAAAGGAAAAAACTATTAAAATTACGCTGATAGTAACCACTTTGAGCACCTCTTGTAATTGCAGAAGTCAAATGCAACTTGTATTCATTTTTTGTTATCGGTATATATTGAGTTTTACAATTTTAATAGTTTTTTTTCCTTTCTTAAAATGTGTATACATTTTTTTGACACCCTCTATATATTGGGCTGTTGGAAAGGTCATGACATATTTTGTCTATGTTTTTCAAAGGTCATTTATTTATATAAAGAACAAAGATCAATGATATATTGTCCATTTTGTTCAATAACCTTTTGCCGTCTTTCAGTGAGCTTCATAATTCCTCGTTCATAGAAGGACCTATCTTTATTTGAGAAAAATTGATCAAGGTGCTGATTTATAGCCTCATCTGAATTGAACGTTATACAACGCAAGGAGCTGTGAAGAAAGCAAGACAAATGGAAGCCTGACAGTGCAAGGTCAGGCGAGTATGGTGGGTGTGGCAACACATCCCATCCAAGCTCTAATAATTTTTGATGGGTGATCAAACTTGTGTGTGGTCTTGCAATGTCACGATGGAACACAGCTCCTTTACAATTAACAAACTCTGGACGTTTCTGGATGATGGATTTGTTCAAACTGTCCAATTGCCAACAATGCACATTCAAATTGATTGTTTGGTTCCTTGGTAGAAGCTCGAAAAACACACCACCTTTAAAATCCCACCACACTGAGAGCATAACCTTCCTCTGATGAATGTCTGCTTTCGATGTCGTTTGAGGTGAATCATCACGTCGGGACCAAGGCCGTTTGTGCAGCACATTGTCGTAAACAATCCACTTCTCATCACCAGTTATCAGTCGCTTCAAAAAAAGGATCATTTTCCTAACATTTAATGAGCACATTGCAGATGTTTATACGCACTGTCAAATGAGCTTCTTTGAGTTCATGCGGAACCCAAATATTGAACTTGCTTATGTTACATATCCCAGCTTCTTCAGGTGGTCGTGAACGCTTGAATGATGGATGTTTAGTGTTTCTGCAATCTCTCGTGTCGTGTAATGTGGGTTTGACTTTATCAATGTCTTTATTTGTTGTCATCAACCTCTGTGGGCCTCCCTGACTGAGGAGCGTTGTTGAGATCATAATCACCAGCATGGAATTTCGTGAACCATCGTTGGCACTGAGGTTCTTGTAGAGCGTTGTCACTGAAATGCAACTTTTCACAAGCTTGATGCACGTTCTTCCCTTTATGGAAGTAAAACAGTAAAATATGGCGAAAATGCATAGTTCAGTCTTCCATCTTCAACTTGTTGTAAAATCTCCAAAATTCAACCAAATTGCTCAATTTTTTAAAAAATGAAGCTAGAACTGTCAGCTGTTAAATGACATAGCAATAACATAGATGTGAATGACTCTAGTACTTCCAAAAATGAACTAGTGCCATCTGTTGCAAACATGCATCATGACTTTTCCGACAACCCAATACTTAATAAACAGTTGGAATGCTACCTGTCTACATAGAAAATAATTTATTTGGTGGTCAAAACTTCCAAAATATAGTATTAATATGGGTAAATGAGGGAGTCCTTGAAACTAAGCTGATTAGACCTAAGGTTTAGAGGACAATTATATGCTCTTAGGTGACAGCTGGTCTGCTGTGCAGACCTGGGTCCTCCAGGGATGCACAGGTCCAAGGAGACAGCTATAGGAAAGCCTGCCGTGGCCAGGGAGGCAGTAGCCAAGAGCTGGGGCAGGAATCTGGTATGTCACTAGAACCGCATGCCTAGGCACCTAGGCAATATATGAGAAGGTACATCAATACGATGCTACCAGGGTCTGGGTTTTCATGGCAAATGAAGAGCGCACTCCTCAGACAGCACCAAAGCAGCTATGGACTTCGAGATAATCCTGAGATCCCTTCTATGAGTCTGGTGAAAGTGGAGGAAGAACTCTAGTATAAATCAAGTGTCTGGCCATTAAAGACAGCTTTTTTCTAAAGCATAGGACAGCTTCAGGCAGCACAACCCCCCATCTAGGCTACAGAGAGATAGCCAAATACTACTAGGGAGATTAAAAAAAAAAAAAGTCGTATAAAGAATATTGGGCTTGGACCACATTTGCCTATTAAACTGCCCATTCAGGGGATTCTAAGCCCAGGAAGAGACCTAAGTAAGAATAATGTACAATTATTGAAAGCCTGCTGCTGGAAGCACAAATTAGAGCAAAAGGTAACAAACACAGATTGTAGAAGAAAGCAGGGCAAGTAAAATGGACCCCCGCTTTAAGTTGGAAGGGAAAAAGAAATGTTTTAGTATACATTAAGAGGAAAATAGGAAAAATGTATAAAATACGTACCAATACCGTGGCCACATTATTGGGAAAAGCCTTTGCGAGGATAGAAAAGGATGCAGTTATTGCTGCAGCAAAGCTTATTGCATCTGCTACTCTCACCAGAAAACACATGGCAATAAATATTGGTCCTTCTGGAACTTGGTCCAATAAACTAAAAGAGAATGAATAAGACAATTATCAAATGCCAGGCTGGTTTTTATTTTTTTCCTTTTTAACTGAACTCACTGAAAAGTGTAGTTATTAGAATAAATCTCTTCAGAATATGTTTTTTAAAAAGTTGCTTTATTATACTTCCAGTAAAAAAAAATTACCTTTTTTTTGTTGTTGTTTGATAACAATTTGAGGCATAATGAGAGCTTAGTTGCCCTTTTCTGCTGACATATATAAATGATGTCCTAAATAGGCCTTTTGAAATATACAGATAGAAGCACTCTGACAAGAATCAATACCACCTCCACACCCCACTGTGGGGCTCAAACCTTCAAAAATAAGAGTAAATGCAGAAAACAGAAGACCACCCCCCCACCACACCACACCCACACAAAGAAACATTTTTAAAACATTTAATTTGATAGGAAGGCTTTCCTGTGCTTACTTCATCATAACCTTAGCAAGCTCTTATCACTCCATTTTCCCCAAGAACTTGTGTAAGCTCTTCCATGTGATTTGCCACTACGCTGCTGGTTTAAGGACTTCAAGTTTAAGAATTTTCATCTAATTTGCCTATGACACTTATTTTCCGTTTCTCTCAAAGTAGCAGTCAGGGGACCCATTCTGCTCCCATGCTCAGAAGTGAGCATGCGACTTAGGCCTGGCCAATCAGAGCATTCTCTTCCCCTGGCTACAGTGATCTTGATGTAGGGATGGGTCATCAACAAAGATCAGGCCAGTGGAACTCCATTCTGTGACTCTATAGAAGGTCTTAGGAAAATGGCATTCTTAGTATGGGAGCTGCTGGGGCCAGCTTGCCACCACAAGGGGAGTTTATCCCAGAACAAAGCACAAGAAAAGGAAAACAAAACCATGAATTTGAGAAAAACTTCTGATGACATTATCTTAACATATATATCCTGATGTTCTTCAGCTGATTCTCCAGGTAAGAAATTCACTTTCTTCAGCCCAAAATTTCTGTGATTCAGAAATGTGAGTTACGTTTCTGTCACTCACAGTCACAGGAGTCCTAATGAATAGACCCAGTGGCCAGCTTATTGGTGATTCCCTAAAGGGCTCTTTTCTTAAGATCAGTGTCACTCATCCTGTTTTCTACATTACCCAACTCCCTTCACCATGAGTCACATGCCAGTCACATGAGTCACACACACTCAACAATCAGTGGTACTGACTACTGTAAAGAATCCATTGACATTTTAAACTAAAGGCAGATTATGAAGTCTGCTTAAGCTCCTAGACATAGATATATCAGAATATGACTTACCCAAAGAGAATTGTAACTCCTCCTGAGACAAACACTCCTGCTACAAACATAAATTTTGCTCCAATATGTACAAGCTATAATAAATGTCAAAGAAAAGTGATAAATTGATGATTGCTACAACCTAATCTAACAGAAACAAATCCACTCTAGCAGGAAATAAATAATTTGGGGAAGATATGAACAGCTAATATAATAATAATAATTCCTTAGTAGACTAAAAACATATATTTCTGACAAATATGAAAAGTTAACAATCAACTAACTCTAAGAATGGAACTGTCAACAATAGCACAATTCATACAATATAATGGTGGTTATTTCTGTATCATTGTAAATTCTAGACTAATAAATTAGAATAACTCATTACACAATTTTAAAAATTAAAATGTACATATAAACTTTAATACTTACATATTTTCCAAATACCAAAGATGCCAGCAATTCAGTCACAGCATAACATCCAAATATCATACCAATAACTGTATTGCTGGCTTTTTTCTTTTCAGCCTTTAAAAAAATTGAAAAGGAAACCATATTTGAGAGACAAATTAGCATCAATGTGGAAAAATGGAAATATTAGATCAGAGTATCATCTTTTTGTAACATGCATCGGTGTAGCAATTTCAAAAATTAATATTCTAAAATAAACAGAGTGAAGAAGTATAGGAAACTACTAAAACTTAGTCTTTAACATGAAAATAATTCACTCGCTGTGCTTATAAAGAATTGTTAGCTTTACAATCTTGAGAAAGAACAAAGTTGGAGACATCACACTTCCTGATTTCAAAAATAAATTACATGTGAGGTGTGTAAGTGTCTAATCATTATGTTGTTTTGTACACTTGAAACTAGTAATAAAAAGAATTACAAAACTGTAGTAATTAAAACAGTATGGCACTGGCATAACTACATACAGATAGATTCATGGAACAAAACAGAGAGCCCAGAAATAAACCCATACACATATGGTCAACTGATTTTCCACAAGCGTGCCAAGGACCCACAATGGGCAAAAGACAGTCTCTTTAAGAAATGGTATTGGAAAACTTAGATATCCATATGAAAAAGAATGAAATTGGACCCCTATCTTACACCATTCACAAAATCAACTCAAAACAAATTAAAGACTTAAACGTAACACTTGAAACCATGAAACTCCTCAAGGAAAAAGTAGGGAAGGTACTTCTTGACATTGGTCTTGGCAATGATTTCTTAGATTTGACACCAAAAGTACAGACGACAAAATCAAAAGTAGACAAATGGGACAACACTAAACTAAAAAGCTTCTTCATAGCAAAGGAAACAACCAACAGAGTGAAAAGGCAATCTGCAGAATGGGAGAATATATTTGCAAACCGTCTATTAGATAAGGGTTTAATATCCAAAATATAAAAATCCCCTATAACTGAATAACAAAAACACCAAAGAACCTGATTAAAAAATGGATTAAGGTCTTTAATAGACATTTTTCCAAAGAAGACACAAAAATGGCCATCAGGTATATGAAAAGGTGCTTAAGGGTAAATAATCATCAGGAAAATGAAGGTTAAAATCACAATAAGGTGTCATCTAACACCTGTTAGGGTGACTATTACTGAAAAAACGAGATAAAAAGTGTTAGTGAGGATGTCAAGAAATTGGAACCCTTATATACTATTGGTGGAATGTAGAATGGTGCAACCACTATGGAAAACAGTTAGAATGGTCCTCAAAACATTAAAAATAGAACTACCACATAATCCAGCAATCAATCTGTCTGCTAAGAATTGAAAGTAGTGTCTCAGAGAGATATTTACAGCCCCATGTTCACTACAGCATTATTCACAATAGCTAAGAAATAGAAACAACCCAGATGTCGACTGACAGACAAATGGATAAAGAAAATGTAGTATATACATACAGTGAATATTACTCAGCTTAAAAAAAGATCCCTCTTTTTTTTTGCATCTGCAACAACACGGATGACCATTGAGGAAATTGTGTTAAGTGAAAAAAGCCAAACACAGAACAAATACTACATGATTCTTCTTATATGATGTATCTAAAATAGATTCAGAAGCAGAGAATAAAGTGGTGGTTGTCAGGGGCTCCAGGGAGGGGGAAGTGGGGAATTATTGCTCATTGGGTATGAAGTTTCTGTTAAGCAAGATGAGCTCATGTGCTGTTGCCACACAAAAAAATAAATAAAGGAAGGGAAGGAGGGAGAGAGGGAGGGAGGGAGAGAAGGAAGGAAGGGAGGAAGAAAGGAAGGGAGGGAAGGAGGGAAAGAAGAAAAAACACAGGAAAAAAACCCCACAAAAGAACACGAGGAAATTTTTGTAGGTGGTGGATATGTTTAATATCTTGATTGTGATGATGACATCACAGGTATACACAAATGTCCACACTCATTAAAAAGGATATATTAAATGTGTGCAATTTTTTCTATATTGATTATACATCAATAAATCCCCCCAACGCCCTCAAAAGATTGTTGGCTTTGCCTGGCAAAAAATCAGAATTAAAGAGTATAAGAGTATAAACAAAAGCAAAAAATCTTGTCTGAGGAAATTTGGGCTTTATTTCACACACCGAACTGAGCTTTATGATATCTATGAGATAACAGAAAATATATTGGTCTCTGCCCCTGGTTCCTGGTACAGTGCTAAAACTCTTGTAATTTTCTAACTGATAAGAGCACCAGGAATATCTTTTGTTCTAATATTTGGTTTCTGACCCTTATTCCTGACACCGAGCTCCTAAATCCCTTGGAATTTCCTGGGTGATAGAAATGTCTTTTATTCTAATGAAGTGACTCTGGGTGGACTCCTGGATGGCACTGGTAACCAGAAAGACCAAGACATGATTAGAAGCTTGGAACCTTCAGCCCCACCCCCCATTCTCTATCGAGGGACTGGAAATTGAGTTAATGATTTATCATGCCTACCTGATGAAGCCTCTATAAAAATCCCACAGGTTTGGAGAGCTCTCAGGTTGGTGAACCTGTTGAAGGGCTGGGATACTGGCAAGCCCAGAGAGGGCATAAAAGCTCCGTGCCCTTTCCCACATGCCTTGTCCTACGCCTCTTCCATCTGGATGTTCACCTGTATACTTTACCATATCCTTTCATAATAACCAGTAAACGTAAGTATTTCCCTGAGTTCTGTGAGCCACTCTAGCAAGTAGTCAAATCCAAGGAAGTGGGGGAGAGAGGGTCATGGGATTCCCCCAATTTACAGCCGTCAGGCAGAAGTTGTGCATAACCTGGGGACCCACTATGATCGGCATGTCCTGTGGGACTGGACCCTTAACCTGTGGGACCTGTGCCGTGGGGTCTGTCAGAATTAAATTGAATTGTAGGACACACAGCTGGCAACATAGAGAATTTATTGGTGTGGGAAAAAAAACTACACATCTGGTGTCAGAGTGTTGTGAGGGTGGTAGCGGGTGGAACAGATAGGAGGAAGAGTTTTTCCTACTTAGTATCATATTTAGTTACAGGATGGAACTCCACTGAAAACAAAAGCACTCTGCCAGTCAAAAAACTCAAGAATAGGTAGTTCCTTGATCTGGCACATAAGTCATAGCAAGGCCCATTCAGTCTAGCTCTCTGTTTCTGATATTAACACCAACTACCTGACAGTTTAGAGAAGCCAAAGTTTTCTTTCCTGACATCATCCACACAGATAAAAGATGCTTTCTCCACCATCTGCATTCTATGTTCTCCCAAAACACCTATCCATCAATTATATCTCTAAATGTTGATAGCCTGTTCTATCAGTGTGTTCCTAAATTTGCTACAGATGATAGAGTATTTATTCTACATCTACTTCTTTTGAGCTCCAAATGCTACTATTAGTTGTGATATACAACTGAATTCATGTATACAAATAGACAGGAGATTTGAAAAACTTTTAAAAACCCTGGAAATGTAGATCCTTACATCAGGTTCTGGCTATAGCCATTTAATGAGTAAAATATGAGTTTAATTTCTTTAAGGTAGGATGAACAACTTGGCATACCGTGAAGTACAAAGCCTGCACTACACAATTTTCTGTCTTCCCAGACAGTCAGTGGTCATTTATTGAGCACCTTCTATGTGTCAGGCACTGTGCCAGGAGCCAGGAGTGAATATTTACGATTGGAAGATCCAATTTAGAGTCATCCTTTCAACAGAACTCCAGCTCTTTTGCAAATAACTTTACTCTTAATACAGAAATGCATGTGCACGTACACACACTCCTACACCCTTTAAAACCCACTCTCTACAACAACCATAATCCCATTTCTTTACCTTTTCTCCCTAACTACAATTTTAAGTTGAAAATTTACACCATTGTTTCCCATGTAAAGTTACAATCATTATTCAATCTTCGTCTTTTTCAAAAATGTTTTCATGTTAGACTCTGTCTCTTTAAATAAACCCTATTTCTCATAGCATAATATCACAGGAAACTAGATAGGTGAATTCTATTATTCTCAGCTCAACTTTAGGAAGGGCCCCCTTACTCCAGGAAGTCCCCGCTGAAATGGAGTCTTTAAGTAGACTCCTGGTGGCAGGAGAGGGTGGAAAGGTTGAACCTATAGCACTGTAGTAATTACTTGGGCAAGATTTAAGTCCCTAATTTTATGGGATTCAGAATTAGCCACTCCCCATCCATTACTAATAACCACATGAGATAATGGTATGCAGACAAGAGAGATCTCATGATAAAAGATACCTTTAATGGCATCCTTGCAAAAGGTTGTGCTCTATGTAGGCTGGAGCACAAAGTTGACATTTCTACTACACAAAGGTAAGGTAGTGTTATGAGTTGAATTGTGTTCCTCCAACTTCCCAGTGCCTCAGCATGTGACCTTATTTGGGGATAGAGCCTTTCATAATCAAGTTAAAATTAGGACAGTGGGTTGGCTCTAATCCAAAACAATCTGTGTCTTTATAAAAAGGGGAAATTTGGACACAGAGGCATGCATAGAGGGAAGACCACATGAAGAGACACAGGGAGCCATCAGCTACCGACAAGCCAAGCAGAGAGGTTTGTAAGTCAACCTTCCCTCAGAGCCCTCAGAAGGAACCCACATAGCTGACACCTTGATCCGGACAGCTGGCCTCCGGAATTGTGAGACCATACATTTCTGTTGTTTAAGCCACACAGTTTGTGGTACTCTGTGATGACAACCCTAACGAACTAAAACAGGTACCTCAAAGGGAAGGTATTATCAAAGGAGTCTATTGAGATATAATGAGACAAGTAAAGAGCTAATGGAAGCGAGCTTGTGAGCTGGCAGGAGCAAGCTTCAAAATTACCCGCTGGGCCCTGACTCCCCTGGCCAGCACCACTGCACCTGCGGGCTGACAGGCACCTTACATCCATCATAGGTGAGAACAGAACAGGTCCCCATTGCAAAGGCAACCACCTGCACACTAACAAACACCCGTCATAGATGGGAACAAGACAGTTCCCAGGAGAAGACAATTGTAACAGCAGCCCCCCTGCAAGCTGATAAGGACCCTACATCCTGCTTAGAAAAATATAAAACTCGAGCTATACAGAAACGGGTGTAGCTCTTTCTCTCAGACTGCTCTGGCAAAATTTCTTCTGCCAGGACTCTCTCTCTCCCTTTTTGACTTTCAGTAAACCTTTTCTTACTCTTGTAGAGCCTTGTAAATACTTTTACATTCTACAAATGACCAGGGGTTAAGTCTACGCCAAGACATCTTGGTGCCGAAACCCGGGAGTTTCGACTCTACCATTCCCTACATTCTGCGAACGACCAGGGGTTAATTCTACACTAAAACAAGATGTAGAAACAACATTCATTGTCCAAGTTACATTATCCATGTTCTTGGCTTAATAGCTCTAAGTAGTTAATTCTAGAATCTGGCAGAAAACATATAGGGTTATAGTAACATTTATTGGACCCTCGTTATGTGCCAGACTCTCCATTAAGTGCTGTTTCACAGGGTACGTAACGATTAAATAAGGGATGTATTTTTAGCTGCCCCTATTTTATCGATGAGGACACTGACTTGCACAGTTTATAGTCGCTGCTGCCATGAGAGTCTCCATCTTGTGCATGTTCCCACATTCGCTGGCGACAGAACGGAGACGTAGGATGTCCTGAACCACACACCACAGCAGCGGCTGAATAGCACTTTTTGAACCTGGGTCCTGCCGCACATTAGGAAACAAGAACAGCTGTTAAAAGCAACTTCTGCTTCACATGTAATCCCCTGACAAAGGAGGATGGTGCCAGGAAAAGGATGAGCAGAAACAGGAAGCCTGCACCAGAACTTAAGAAGAAGGACCCTGTTTTTCCTTTGCCTAATTGGCTCCGGCTGATAGGAAGGATGACAGAACATGCAGGAGGAACATAAATTTTTCCAGTACAGAAGGCTTTAATAAGAAACGAAAAGAAAGAGACCACTCTTCATATCTACACCTGTTAAAAGTTCAAATGTTCTCTTCCCTGTCTGTCTTCTTTCCTTCAGCCTTCCCTCCTGTGAGCAAAAAACTACATCAAAAACTTAAAAAAACACACACCCACAGCCTGGTTTTCCTTTGTCTATATTCCACTAAGAAGAAATTAAAGTTGGTTGTACTCACTGAGTTCCAGCTGAGCCAGGAAATACACCAGTTCTTCCACATCTTAATTCTACAGGCTCCCACCCAACATTTTTTCCCAAACCCACATCTGGCCAGGCTCCTCCGTTTTGCTCAGACATCTCTGATGATGTCTCACTGAATAAACCGTTGTCATCCTTGGAAGAACGCTTGCATTCTATCTCCAACCTGCCTCCTCAGATCCTCTGCCTCCTTTCAGACCTCGCTGCACCCCAGGCCCAAGCCACACCAGGTTGTCTGCTGCTCCCCAAGACCACGCTGTTCACTGTGCTCATGCTCTGACTGTCTCAGGCTGTTTCCTAGAACACCATTGCCTCCTGTTCATCACAGGAACTACCATTTCTCAAGATCCATCTTAGATTTATCCTGTGAAGTCCCTTTTGGTACCACCCCTTTTTCTCTTTTCCTCCCTCACTCCCACCATGGCAAAACTAACCATTCCTTCTTCTAGAGTCTCGTGACATTTTGGACATCTTTTTCTTTAAGGATGTCCAAATACTTTGCAATTTTATTTTCATACTGTTTCACTCCCAATGGACAGGCAATAGAGGGACATTTTCCTGACCTTATTTCTGCCCTAGCATCCCATGCTTAGCACACTCTAGAGCGGGAAGTCGTTAAACCTCTCACTTCGGTGAACAGGCCTGGACCAGGCCAGTCACTTAACCTCTGAGTCAGTTTCTTCATCTGAAGCATGATGAGATTCTCACTGCTCTGCCTGTCTGTCTTATGCAGGAGCTGCAGATAAACACGGGTATGGGGAAAGTACACTGAAAACTAAACAGCACTGTATGGGTACAGAGTGGGACTGTTCTTTAGCAGAGAAGCCGTTTTTATTCCCTTTTGTTACACATAGAATGGAAGACTACATTTTATCAAAGCAGAGGACTGAGAGGGGCCAGTGCATCGAGTTGAGGCTTTGACAAAGAACACGAGATATAAAACCCACAGGCATATTATTTCCACTCAGCCAAGCCAGTACCATTCCTTTCATACTGTATCCTACCAATGTCCAGATTCCTGGTGGATTCTCTAGGAGTTATTCCCTTTAAGCCTGTGCCATTATCTATAGACCCTAACACCACATAAAAGGCTATGATAAGAAGGAACCAGTCAAAAATAATCCTTGGCACAAACATAGCCTCTAGATTCCACAAGAAAATTCAAATCAGAAAAGGGAATTTAGTGGACCACGGCTTCCTAATTCCAAAATATTAATAAACCAAAACTCCAGGAAATAGAGTGACTGTCTTAACATAGGTCTTTTGCAGTAACGTTAAAATCTCAGTGACTCAGTGCAGCCTCCTTTTTCTCAATTGCAGAAGCCAAATAAAGATTAATCAGATTATATGGTAAGCAAATACATCCTCAGAAGGTCAACTATATTTAGGTGAATTACATCCCAAGATGATGTTCTTTCTGACTGGATTTTCTTTTTCTGGTATCACATATTTTTTAAGAAGTTTTCTGTCTGCTAAAGTTCTATACATCATCTTTACTATATGCAGATCTTTACATTTTTTTTTTATATTTTAAAACAAAATGATTCAAAAGGCTTTTTAAAAATTAAGAGTTCACAAGGTTATAAAAATGTCTCACCTCCTTGGGGAAAAAGGGTCCAAGGATAGAGTAGGACATCATAGAACCTAAGTTCATGGAAGCTGCCGATATCAGTACAAAAAGCTGTTCTCTGGAAAGCCAGGTGGATGCGTGTCCTGTACTTCCTGGAGGGCCATCACCTGAAACGCAAACACACTACAATTACAAGTATGTAATTGGTACCATTGATCGAGGTACACAAATGTCACTTCTGTGCACAGACGATGCACTCTAAAAACATTTGCTGAGCTGAAGGCTATTTTCAATATAGCACATTTGATCAAATGTAACACAATTCTTGTACATCACTGCAATTTTGAAAACGTATCACTTTCATTTACATACTCCCTGTTAGAATTTCGGCGCAGAACTTATCAGACCATCTGATCTGTTTGGCCTCCAATATAAGGCCTATTTCTTTCACATTTAATACATTCCTTGCAGGAGAAAGAGGGAACTGGGGGATCGCCAAAGGGTGCTCACTTAAGTATATAATATAATTTCTCCAGTTACTAGCCTCATGTGCTACATGGCCTCAATAACGTTTTAAGCATGTCATGTTAGCTGTTTATTAAGCATTCTAGGGCAGTACTGAAGTTGAACCAAGTGGAAGTAGGAGAAAACAAACTAAAGCATTCAATTGACAAATTAATACAATGGCATGCTCCTGAAAAGACAAGTCCCACAAATCCGTAAATCAATATTATATTTTTCACACAAATGACTGGTCTTTTGCATCGATTAATTTAAAACTTACTCCCAGGGCTAAACTTTAAGGCACCAGGTCGATCACTCAGTTTTTAACATCCAGCAAATCTATCGGCCATTTTTAAACGAAATGGTTTGGAGAAAAAAGAAATTTAAGAAAAACAGGGTTTGCTCTATTTTTCAGTTTGTCATTGCAGAAAAATCTGTGCAAATGAGGAAGTCTTAAGAATCCTTGTAAAAATGTGGGATAGATGAGAAAGGAAACCTAACAGAAAGTTTAAAAGGGGGAACAACAGTAAGAGCTCAAAATGTAATGCCATCTGCCTAATTGCATACTTATTTGAATGCATTCTTAAACACACAGTGCTTAAAGGTAGAGCTACAGAGTTCCGTAGTTTTTAACCTCTTTCAGCGAGGAAAGAAACGCTGACCGGAACCCCACCGTCAGGCCCGTCTTTTCGATTGCCTTGGAACCAAACCAAGCTAAAGCTAATTCAATCGTCGATAAGGGTACAGGACCCAAGGCAAGAAGGAGCTAGCTTCTGGCAATGCCGGTCTCGGTCACCTCCTGGGGAGCGTGGGCCCTCGGGGTCCCCTGCCGTGTCCATGAGCAGTGCGCGCGGGTCCAAGTTCTCGACCTCCAGCGACAGGACAAGCGGACCAGCAGGCAAAGAGCGCTCAGCCGGGGCCCCACCCGCAATTACCGCGGGCAGCGCTGTGCCCGCCCGAGGCTCCTCGTAACCTCGGTGGACTTGGAGCTCGGGCAGGAGGGGCGGGCCTTTTTTTTTTTTTTTAAAGACACAGGTTATTATCACAATTCACCACTTCGGATATGATGTATTTTTTTATGCCGTATAAGAAAACATAAAATGAAAGTAGAAAGGATGACTTTATATTACACATAGTTGAATCCTCTACCTTAAAATGGATAAAATTTATTCCTATTAAAAGTAAGAAAGGAAGCATATGTGGACACAAAAGATAGACCGCACCTAAACTTAAAGACAAAAATGTGAATTAGAAAATTAGGTTCATACCGACTCTTTTTAAGAGACTTATTTTTCACAGTGGATCAATGATTATAGTGTTGTAACCACGGAAGCCAGACATTAGTAAACATATAATACCTTTCCCCAAACCCGATTTGCTCAGCAAACCTTTTTATTCTCCGAGCCATCCAACAGCTTTCCAGTAAATTTACTTTTTGTTTTACGTTCGGCATAGGTCAATATGCTGCATGCAAAGAACTATAATTGATATAGTATCATCCAAAATTTCTATGATAAACATGCTTAGGTGACCTAACATAAAAAAGCAACAACTGTCATTTACAAATAAAGATATCACTTGTAACCTGGAGACACACGAGGCGAGGGAAGTCATCAGCTATAGTTCACTGTCATGTGGATTAAGTTATATATCAGAAACAAATATGGAAGACTATGTAGATGTTCAACATTTACTAAAAGTTAAAATTGTTTCAAAATCATGACATAGAACCAAAAAAGTGTTTAAAACCATCTCACTCAACACCCTACATTTTGTAGATGAGGTACTTGAGACCCAGGTATTAGAAGTGTTTTGACTGAGGCTACAGGGTCAGGAAATGACAGAGAGGAGAATCTATATAAAGAATTCTTGAATCAGCAGTCTGCCTTTTAACTTCATTGTTAGGATTAGAACCAGATATATGACTAGGACTTTTTTTTTTTTAACGTATCTCTAGCTCTAAAGACAGTAGTGGTCCTGGCTTCATTCCAACGATTCTCTAAAATAAGATCTGCAGTTATCAAACATATTTCAGAGCGTCAGAACCCATTTTTCAAAAGAAACTTACATAGATAACAGCAGAGCTAGTTTATAGGAAACAGCATCGAGGTCTGGAGTCCTACACACTTGGATTCTCCTTATACGACAAGTGAATAAATTTAATGCTAATCCAGGGTTTGCTCTATTGGCCACTACTCTTTATTTCATTTATGTTACCTGTGTTGCTGCTTTATAATTAGTTTATTCATAAACTTTAAGTATTATCTCTAATTATCTTGCTGAGTATATTTAGTTCCCCCAAATTCTGAATCAGCCCTATAGCGAGCGGCTACAGCACCTAAGCAGCTCTAGGTAGCACCTGGTAGCAATAAAAATAAGGGCTGAGGAAACATCCTTAGTAAGACTTATGAAAGCTCAGGTGAGAATTACACAAAGCCCTCAAAATATGTAAGTATTGGCCTAGGCTTCATACTTAGCTATGTAATAATCTAGTCCCATTTCCCATAACCTTTTTTTTTTCCTTAATAAACTGGGTTTTCCAATTAAAGTCCTTACCTATTAACTTTACAAACTACCTACAACTTTAAATAATCTATTCTACTCTTCTTCATCTACTTTCTTATTTTTTTTAATTCGCTTCCCTCTTACCAATTTCTCTTCTTCAATTCTTCCCCTAATGTTTCTTCAGTATGTTCAAAACTACGTGCTACATATGCTGAGGCTAGGCCTGTATATTCCTAACTGCAGAATAATATTTTCTGAGTTTTCTCCTATTTCTTAGCTTCCATTTCCTTCCATTGGATTTATTTTCTACCCTCAAAGGTAGGAATATTTTAAAAGTTTTCAAATTAAAAGTTTTCTGGGATGCCCCAAACCACCACCTAACTCACAAGCGATATTAATTTATGATAGCGGTTCTCAACGTGGCTTTCTGTTTAGGTATGCCATCTTACCCAGATGCTTTTTAAAACTTATTCATTTGCTAAGTTCATTCAGTAGACATTAATTTAGTGACCCCAATATGCAAGTCACTGTACTAAGATGCTGGGTTGTTTGGGGCGGAAGAAAGATAATATTTAAAAACATTTCTGTATGTTTTTCATATCAAGATATTTTATAAGGCAAGTAACTACTTCACAGGCACTGTAGTAAACATCTTATTTAATCCTCACAAAAATATTACAGCATTATCACCATTTTACTCAGAAAAGTAAGCAATTTGCCAAAAGCCACAGTGAGCTGGAATTTTAACTTAGCTCAGCTGGGACCTACCCCTTCAAGATAAAAAATCTGGCCGTTTTCTCTTCCCAGCTCTGCTCATCCAAATAAGCTTTTTTGTAGTTCAACTCAAAGATCTTTTCTGTCATTTAATCTGTTCTACATCTCTTCCTTCTTTAACATCTGTTATGGATAAAATTGTTTTCCCCATATGAAATGTTTAATTCCTAACCCCCAGCATCTCATATTGAGACCCTATTCGGAAATAGGGCTGTTCTCGATGTAATTAGTTAAGATGAGGTCACACTGGAGTAGGTGGGCCCCTAATCCAATATAACTGGTATCCTTATAAAAAGGAAAAATGTGCACACAGAAACAGACACGCACACAGGGAGAACAATGATGTGAAGATTGGAGTTATGCTGCCATTAAGCCACGGAACACCAAGATTGCTGGCAGATCTGGAAGCTAGGAGAAAGGAATGGAACAGATTCCCCGACAGCCTTAACCCCGCAGGTACCTTGATTACAGGCTCTTTGTCTGTAGAACTGTGAGACAATACATCACCTTTGTTTAAGCCACCCCGTTGGTGATCCTTTGTTATGGCAGTTCCAGCAAACTAATACAATATCTACACTTAGATGATTCGGAAACCCAAATTTCAACTGCTCTCTTCTCCTGCTTTTACTGTAATATCCTCTTTCTCCATCTATGCAACTTTTTAGCACAATGAGGTAGAGCCAGTTGTATTTTTGCCAAATGAGAGATGTAAAGTGTTTCTTGAATTCTCAGTGATCTCCCTCCCACATTTAGACTATCACCCAAATGGCTGAAGGGTTAGAAGCATGAGTTTTCAAGTCCACTGGGCTCAAATACCAGCTTCCACATTTAAGATCTTGGGCAACTCTCTAAGTCTTGGTTTCTTTACCTGTTGAAGAGAGCTAATACCACCACCACCACAACGATGATCAAGGAAGAAAATATATGACAATAATTTAGCACATTAACTGGTGTATAAAAAGTGCTAAACAAGATTACTTATTATTTATTGTTCCTAAAACAAACTTTAGAATTTATTTTTTCGTGTTTATTTCAGATGTACATTTGTGTACATTATGTATTATAATCTGCTGGTGTAAGAGTGCCTTTAGTTATTAGGCTCTGGTTAATATTGTGTTCCACCTTTGGATATATCTAAAATTGAGAAAAGGTAACCTTAAGCAAATGAATTAGGAAAATCCATATTAAAGCAGCTTTGAACCACCAGTGTACCCTTTAATTTCATTTCTGGGATTAGAAATGGTTATATAAATAGGATTTCTAAAAAAGTGTAGATACAGTTCTAAGGAGGGAGGTTTGTAACTGATAGAAAAGGTTATTTATAAGGTGAAATATTAATAGGCCCATGACACTTGAGTCTACATAATAGATTATGAGCTGCTAGAAAACAAAAGCCAACCACAGCATAAGCTAAAATCATTTTCCCCTGTATAAATACGTGTGGCAATGATTATTTTCCCCATTTGTTTCCTGAGTTTTTACCGCATTCCCTGCCTCCTCGCATATCAATATAAATATATATATATATATATATATATATATATATATATATATATACACACACACACATATGTGTGTGTGTGTGTGTGTGTATATNATATATATATATATATATATATATATATATATATATATATATACACACACACACATATGTGTGTGTGTGTGTGTGTGTATATACTTGGTGGGGAGGAGAAATCTACTAATATGCTTAGTATATCAACTCTTATTTTTAGATAATGGGAAATTTGCTGACGCACCATTTACCACATTCTTTCAAAAATACAAACGTGTTAAGATAACTTCCAAAAAAGCCAAGGAAGCATCAGTGCTTTTGCCCTTAGTTTTTCTTCCACTTGGAATACCCTCTCCTTTTCTCTCATCTCCCTTTGGAGTCATTTTATTATTTATTTATTTATTTATTTATCTCATTTCAAATGCTGCTATAAGCCTAAAGTCTTTCTCTTACCTCTCCACATCATCCCCACTCTCCAACCCCCATGCCACTTTGTACCTCTCCTGTGGCCTTTAGGTATTAATCTTTGGCTCAAATCTTAATCCCACCCCAAGTATGAAAGGGGCAGGAATATTTTCTCATCTTTATAAACTCTGTAGCTTGTTTGTTTTAAAAGTAAAAGCTCAATAGCTAATTGAATGAACAATTAAGTACGTGAACAACTTTTAGGATGCAGGCTCAACACTTTTAAAATGAAAATTGAAAACATTTGAAAAGCTAAAAATGAATCATATCGATGCATAAAAATTCCAGTATATTTCTGTTCTGGTTAACCCTGCCTCACACTCTTACCATGTTATCCATTTTTGTTTTCAGCTAGGCACTCAATCTGACTAACTGTTCGCTGTTCACTGGATCCAGTGTTGGCATCTATCAAACGCTTAATAATTGCTAACCGGTTTGGTAACTTATCAGGAGAGGAAGTTAAAAGAAAAAAAAAGACTGTACTGATTATATTCGCCTGTATTGCACTGAAAATTAGCGGGCTGGGGAGGATGGCCAATCATTGCAAAATTCGAAATGTTGCTTCCGTGGAATTCCACTCAGGGTTGTAGGGTTCTCGGATCCTACTCCTAACTCCGCCAATCCTGGAGGGCGAAATTAATGTCGGATATCTCCAAGACTACGTTTTCCTCTGTATTTCCAGACCCTATATATCCCTGTGTGTGGTACATCGCGTTCTAAGTGCACAAATTGAATCCTGACGTGCGCGGGATAACGAATCCAGGGGACAATTTAATTTAGCATTATAAAAGAAAAAAAAAGCATTTAAAACCAACCACCTGGCTGAAGGTTCCACTTGACTAACACATCGCCGGGAAAGTAGAATTTGCAACGTGTTTGTAAGTAGTGAAAACGTGTTGGCTTTCGTTTCATGAACACGCACGCGTGCGCGCGCGCGCACACACACACACCCGCCCCCCACAGAAGGACACATTCACGGACATTCAGAGCGCCTTACAAGAGACGGGAGAAAGCGTGCCACTCAGGGAGGCCCAGTTAGGTGGGGACGACGGGGATTACCACACGATATGGTAAAGATTAAAGCTGGCGTTCCGAGGGCCCCGGGGAGGCAGGGGCCTCCCAGGACCTCGCCGACCCCAGCGCTTGGCCGTTCTCGCGCTCCGTAGAGCGAGCTCTCTGGGCCTCCGCACGCCTCGCGCCCGCGGGGAAGGATGACGCGAGGCTGCCCGTGATGGTGCCTGTTGCGCGTGCCAGGGACCAGCAGAGCAGGATCGGAAGAGAAGCAGTTTCCTTGTCTTTGAACCGCCTCAATCCGGAAACAGAAATTCTCGCGGCCCGGCACCACCAGAGACGCCTCATTCGTGGAAGGGAGTACGCATGCGCCGAGGGGTCCTGGGAAACCCTTAAATACCGTCATGTGGGCGCTTCTGGCCTTTTTTCCTGCCGCCGCGGAGTAGCGCGGAGGCAGAGCCTTGGGGTGAGTTGAAGAGGGCCCGAGCGGTGCTTATGGTGCACGGTTCGGTGTCTTTTGGCAGGGATTGGTGATGAGTACCTGGGCCTGAAATGAATTTTTTAGTCAACCAGTGTTTGTTTTGTATTACAGTGCGTTCAAGATTCGGCTCCACCCGTAACCCACCACCATGGCCGAGGAAGGGTGAGCCCAGGGCGGGGGTCTTGGTGCGGCTGAGGGGTAGCACGCGCGGGCGCGCAGTCCGGGCTCTGGGTCAGCTGGGGCGCCTTAAGCGTCCCTGACGGACCTCGTCCGCGATTGCGGAGTCCAAGGTGTTACTACGGCGTGCGGGGAAACTGACGAACCGTTTTGATGCGTTTTGTTTCAGCATTGCTGCTGGAGGTGTAATGGACGTCAATACAGCTTTGCAAGAGGTGCTGAAGACCGCCCTCATACACGATGGCCTAGCACGTGGAATTCGCGAAGCTGCCAAAGCCTTAGACAAGTACGTGTCTCAGTCTCAATACTGTGGGTTGTTGGAACCGGAACAAAACTGCAGCCAAGGGAAGAAAGCGTGAAGTTCATGGTGTTAGCACAAAAGTTCTGAGTCGCATCCGTTCTACAGGAAACCTAGGACAAGGTATCAGAATTCAGATCTCTCTAGCCCACTCCAAGCTGGTGGGTTTCTGTGTGGAATGGGGACGAGCATTTTGATTTACTAGTCACAATAAAACTACAGCGTTTGAATGATGACTTCAAATTGTCGGATACCCCTTCACTCTCTTTATGAGTGAAACTTCACAGTCTGACAAACCTGTAGGATGTGGGGCTAATTTCACATTATTTGGAGATATGGATCTCCATTTGGCGGTTTGCAAAACTTAAACCATGAAGCGCAGTTAATGGGATTTTAAGCTACCTTTTGTTACAGAAGCACCTGGACTTGCAGACGAATTTAGTAAGTGAAGTAGCTTGTAGGAACGTAAATATGGAATATTTGTAAATGTATTCGGTATAGTTTCGGGACTGGTTACATTGGCAAAACTGTGTTAAGTATCTGAGTTGAAGTTAAATGTACTTACAGTTTCTAAGCCAGGCAAATTTAAGTCAGTTCAATAAACTTGGGTGTAGACCAGCCAGTTGAATCCAGTGGAAACGCTTGTTGGAAGTCCTTCCTTAGGTCTTGTGTGAATACCCTGCACTATTTGTATCTTGCCAGTGTTGCAGAATATTAAGGTCTGGGCCAGTAACAAGGAACGACTCTAGTAGTTTGTGGGTCATATAACTGCAGTGTTTGTAAGACTGGCTTGCCATGAGGGCGTGTTTTTGTCTTGGCTACAAAGTGGGTAAACTAGCTTCCCTACATAAACTTGGTACTTTTAAAAGTTATTAAACACTTCGTGTTTCTATGGATGGATTGGGTGACTCAGTTCAGCTTCATCAAACTTTATTAGTTTCCACCAGTGGGTGTGCTGCTTACGTTTTGCCAGTGTACCAATGCAGAGACAACTCCTTTGTAAAAGTGCAAGTGTAGTGGATTTAGGCCTGAATTTTAACTTCTGTTGGATTTTGCATTTCAGGCGCCAAGCCCATCTTTGTGTGCTTGCATCCAACTGCAGTGAACCTATGTATGTCAAGTTGGTGGAGGCCCTCTGTGCTGAACACCAGATCAACCTAATTAAGGTAAGTTACCCATCTAATTTGATGTATCTGAACTATTAAGAGATACTTTGGCTTAATGAAAATTTGGCAGATGTGTCATGAGTAATGCTGTCGAGTGAATTTTGTCATAACCAGAGCAAATTGTGTAGTCCAGCTTTCTGCAGGTATGAAAAACATTACAAAAATGTAATATTTGTTGTCTATGCTAAAGGTAATACGGGAAGCAAGCATTTTATTCCTGCAGTGTTAAATACTAATTTTGATGTGGGTGTGGAACAAAACGGGTGGAATCACTATAGATGATCTTGGTGCTGTACATGATGACAACTGGCTCCCTCTACTGAACTGCAGTGAGGAAACTGCCATGTCACCCTATCTGACTACAGCTACCTTTTGGCTTTGATTTACTGTCAGTAGCATTAATGTCTACTAATGAGGTGATTTAAAAATTTCCTCCCAATAGGTTGATGACAACAAGAAACTAGGGGAATGGGTAGGCCTCTGTAAAATCGACAGAGAGGGAAAACCCCGTAAAGTGGTTGGTTGCAGTTGTGTGGTGGTTAAGGTAAGTCACTTTATCTCTGGGATGAAGGTTGTGCTGGCTAGTGAATCTGCATTGTTAATTCAGGAACCCCTTTAAAGAAAAAATGTGATTCTCAGATTTAAAGTTTTCTGCCTTGAACAAAAGGAAACAAGCCATAATTCAAGCCAGCCAATGAATCTGCTTATCTGAATGTGTTTCTGCAGAAATATAGAGAAAGCTGGCAATAGTGAAGCCATGTTACGAGCCTTAAAGGCATTGAAGTCATTAAGGTCCCTGAAAATGGCTACAAGAAATTTTAATGGGGAATCATTTTTGTAAGACATGAGTTAATTTTTAAAGTCTTCAACTGTAATTAGTGCTAATGACTTGGTTGGTGGAATTTCTAAATGTTAGTAAAAAAAATCCAATATGACTTTTTTTTAGGATTATGGCAAAGAGTCTCAGGCCAAGGATGTCATCGAGGAGTACTTCAAATGCAAGAAATGAACAAATAAACTTGGCTTTTGTTTTTCATCTCTTTCGTTTTTGGTTTTTTGGTGGGGAAGTAATATAAGGTTCCTATTAGTGAAGAACAAAAGTTAATCGTTGCAAAATAATTAGAAGCGTGCTATTGGTTCCCTCTTTGGTTTGTAAATGAAAGCCTACTCTCCTGACCAGTAAGTAACTTAAGTGTTGGCAATTAAAGTGAACAGTGTAACAAAGATAAAGGTTTATTGTAATGGTTTCTTGGGATGGACATTTACCATGACTGACTTGGCCAGCCTAGAACCGGATAAATGGTCTGAGGCTAGTCAAGTATGGGTGTTAATAAGTTAGAATCTTAGAGCTGGACAGGTCAACAGCAAAGTACAAAGGTGGCCAGGACTGGATTTAGACGATGGGACACTAGCAAGTAACATACTGTCCGGGGGTGCTTATGGACATGCCATTAGGAAAGGTCAGGGTGTTCATTGAACTTAGGTACCAAACAAGGTAATGCTTCAAGGTACTCCAGTCTCTAAGAATCTCAGGGAGGTAATGGTGACTTACATATTTCAAGATCCAAGTTTTGGGTATTGTGGGTATGAGTATGAAATGTTGAGCCTGGTAAGAGTACTGGAGGTTTTATAATTGGAATTGCTGGTAAATTAACCAGCTAGTACTTTGAATTTCTCTTCCCCCTCCTTGGCCAGGCTTCCTAGACAGGGCATGTATTGTGAAGCTGAACTTGAGCCAGATTTGGTTTTGAATGCTCAACTGTTCTATGTTTTTATTTGCATTTTGGGAATTTACAGGTTTAAGCCCTTTTCCAAAATGTAACTTGAAACAGTAGCCTCTAATATCACCAAACGCTGGTTGTGCTCCGCATGAATATCCACCAGTGGAGTGAATGGCTTTAAAATGAATTAGAGCTAATGTTTTATAAAGCATATGGATAGGTCCCTTAGATGATGTCATTTGAGCTTGTCTTCTACCATTAATTGTCAACCTGAGCTATTTGGCTTTTCTAAGGAAAAGGGTCAATTGTACTGTCCTTATATCAGCATCTATTCAAACATTTTGAGTCCCTGTTCTATTGGATTGTTGGAAAAGTCATGATGTATTTTTTCTGTTTTTTGTTGCAAAAATGTGTCCTGACTTCCGACAGCCCAATGTATCTGGTACTGTTTGAGCTGTTAATGCAGTGACAAAAACTACATAGTAAACTGGCATTACCATTTATAGGAAATTCTGTAATTGAGGCAAGGGAAAAGAGCAATTTTGATAAGTAGATTTATGCTTTTTCACTCATTGGCTAGGGACAGACTCTTAACGTCTTCTCACCGATTTCCGATTAAACCTACATTGGCATCTCAAAGTAATTTTCCACCCTTGACCCCACCACCTCTCTTCAGTACTCTTGACTGCGTCTCAAAATCAGTCCTTCAGATAGTGTCCATCCTCTGATTCACTTAAGTCTCTTGAGGATTTTGTTCTCTGCTAGAATATGGTCACCAAGACCTTACTGGTCAAATCCAGTAGCTATTAAACAGCTTTTTTTGTCTTGACCTCTGCTGGCATTTAAAAGTTTTGTCCATACTGGCCTTTGCCACATTCTTTCTCCCATTTCTTAATGCCCGCCCATTTCATTATAATAGTTGCAGATTTAAGGCTGTTGTCCTATTTCCCTATAGCCTTCCTGGGACATTGCCCTTTGACCATAGCTTTCACGCTAGATTCCTGTGATTTCTACATCTTCCTTTGTTTTGGCTCTGGTAATGGTGTGTGCTAGACAGCTCAGTGAGGACAGCCACTTGGCAGCTGAAGTTTTGTATGCCTCAAAGTGAACTTGATCTTCCCCTTAAAAACGTTTTTGGTTAGAGCTAAGGAACATCTAGTGTATACCAGGCTCTGCATCAAGTGGTTAACATGTTACTTCCTGCCAATTTCCAAAGTAGGGGGGTGTCAGGCATCCTCAATTGTCTCTAGCCGTCTATTCATCCAGGTGATAGCCTCCCAACTAATACTCATGTGTTGAGTCGCTGGTCACTTCATACTGCCCAGGGTTGGAAATGAAGTGGCCACACCTGTCTTTTCATAACTCTTTAGGTCCTGCTTTTGCCTCACGTTCCTTTTTTCTTTTATCTGCTTACTGCTCCTTCAAAATCCAGATCAAATAGAACTACAACATTATAGTTGTGACTTGTGTGTATAATTTAAATGGGATTCGCAAGAGCCCATCCAAGCTGTAGTGCCAGGGCGGAAGCAGGTATGTTCATCTTGTATTGGGGGAAATAATAGTTTTATGAAACGTGTTCCTGTGTGCACTTAAAATCTTGTTGACATCCCACATGTACCGGAATCGAGGTAAATCTGAGCCCAGCACTTGATTTTCTTAACTCCCATGGTCAAGGAGATGGGTATCCCTGTTCCCCTGGGCTTATAAGAACACTCCAAACCAAATCTCTTTCAGTCCTTAACTCCATTCTTGTTTTTGCCTCGTGTTGATATTACTAAGATTTGTATCATGCTTTTGTTAAGCCACTTTCAATGCTTTAAAAAATGAACAAGGACAGCCATAGAAAAATGATAAAAAGGCTGTATTATGCTGGTGTCTTAAACAAGAATTTGTCCATCTTTAACTGGATTGTTGAGGCAATGGAACCATTAACATGAGCAGAGGTGTTATAAACTCGAAGAGTATAGAAACACCCAGTCTTAAGATGAATCTAGCCCTCAAAGTGGAGCTTGATTTTTTTTTTTTCCCTCTTCCTTTTTAGGTGAGTGTACATAGAGTTGGGCTCCAGGGAGTATGTTGAGCACAGGCAAGCTTGTAAGGCCTCTTCCTGCACTCCTGAGACAGAAGGAGGAGGATGGTTAGCCAGGGGGGAGAAATAAGGTCACAGCTTTCACTCCAGGCTGAGGCTGAGAGGGATTCTAGGCCAGGATTCTCAGCTCAGCCCACAAGCCAGAACAGCTTTACAGCAGCGAGTTCCTGCAAGAGCCGCGGAGGTGCCCAAGAGAAGCCACCAGCCTTGCCCTGTAGAGAACCTGTTGGATGAAGTGTGACTCATTGCTGGTGCCAAGTCCTTGGGACAGGTTGTAGAGGTCAAAACTGATGAATCTTAACAGCAGGTGATCAGGTATTTAGGACTTGGGCTACAATATACAGGCATACCTTGGATATTGTGGGTTTGGTTCCAGACCACCACAAAACAAGTTACGAATGCTTTGGTTTCCCAGTGCATACAAAAGTTATGTTTATACTGTAGTCTATTAAGCATGCAGTAGCATTGTCTAAAAAAAAAATGTACATACCTTAATTAAAAAATATTGCTAAAAAAAATGCTAACCATCACCTGAACCTGCTGGAAAAATGATGCCTATAGACTTGCTTGAGGCAGAGTTGCCACTAACCTTTAGTTTGTAAAAAAACAGTTTGCAAAGAGCAATATAAGTAAACTGCATGTCAGGGTGTGCAGAAGAACTGGGACTTGAACTCTCCCAAATAAAATCACATGTCCTTTTTTAAAAATATGGGTTACACTTCATATATTACTGTGTTCCCCCGAAAACAAGACCTAACTGGAAAAGAAGCCCTAGCATGATTTTTCAGGATGCTCATAATATAAGCCCTACCCCAAACATAAGCCCCAGTTAAGATCGTCAGCCAGACATGACAGTTTGAATAAATGTAGATTTTTGTACATGAATAAATGAAAAAATGCAGATTGTTGGAGCAAAAATTAATAGAAGACCCGTCTTATTTTTGGGGAAACATGATAGCATAAGCACAGCTAAATTCAAACTGCTTTATTGCAAGGTAGATGTTTCGACCAGCTTTTCATATAACACCTACAGAACCTAAACACTATCTGACTGGTTAAAAAGTTGCATTACAATATAGCCTTTGCTCAGAAAGGCTTAGAAGCCAGGGAGGAGAGGGAGCCTAGGGATTCTGTACCCACAGTAAAGGGGCAATTTTCCAAACTATTGGGTTGTCGGAAAAGTCATGACGTATTTTTTCTTTTTCGTTGCAAAAATGATTCATGACTTTTCCGACAACCCAATAGTTGGCATGAAACATCCTTAAGAATATTTTTCTACTTGTTTTCTTTGGCTCCATATTTGCTGATAGTCTTTATCACCACGTTTCTAATTTGATTTCCACAGCAAATGGGCTTTGGGAAGGGAATGTACCAGAAAAGAGCAGTGATTTTATAGGTAGAAACTCAGTCTCAAGTTTCCTCTTTCTATCTGAACTAAACTGAGTTGGGAGATGTAGAGGTGGAGGCCCTGTGATCATCCTGTGCCCCTGCCAACCCAGGGGTTCTGTCGACCTTGCATCTTTTGATAAAGAGAAAAGTAAAGCATCAATTCAGAATGCCATTAGTTAAGAGAACACATTTATTGACCAATTAAGGTGAAAAAGTGGTTCTAGCTGTAAATATATTTATCACAGAGCTATCACTAATACTTTTGTTGGTTGAAGTAGGTAAAATGTGATACATTTACAAAATGGGATATTATGGTGACAAAAATGGACAGTACAGAAGGAAATTGTTAATGTAAGTATTTTTAAAGCAATATAATGTACAATATGACCGCATTTTGTCAAAAAATGGAATATAAAGGTGCATGCTGGCAGAGAAAAAAAGGATATGCATCAGGTTTCAATGGTTCTGGAAAGGTGAGTATTTTGGTTTTCCTTTTGCTTGTTGTCTCCTTCAACATGTATTGCTTTTGTCCTAAGAACATTTTTAATTAAAGAAATTATGGTGTAGGATATTCTTGGAGTTGATTTTAAGTACCCTTAATATAAAAGTTCTAAAAAATGTTCTGTGAACAAGTGAATTGACTCACCTAGTAAAATTGAATTGTAAAAAACAGAACAGCTTAAAAAGACTGAATTCAGACCTAGCCAGCAGAGGGCAGTAAAAAGCTGGTGCCTGGTGAAGGATGTGTCTGGAAAACAGAAACCAAGATAAGAAGCAGTGACTACAGCAGGCTCTCCTTAAAGATTGTTGGGCTTTTAGTTGACTGTTTCTGGTTGC